ATTCGTGAGTCCAAAGGGCATGACATTATATTTGAAATGTCCATACCTGGTTTGAAACGCAGTCTTCCATTCATCTCGTTCTTTGATCCGTACTAGATTATATGCTCCTCTTAGATCTATTTTTGTATAGATCTTAGCTTGATTCAACAGGTCAAGGAGTCCTGATATCAAAGGTAATGGATACATGTTCTTGATTGTGATCTTGTTGAGTCCTCGATAATCAACACACATTCGTAAAGATCGATCTTTTTTCTTTACGAATAGAATTGGAGCTCCTGCTGGAGATTTTGAATGGCGTATGAAATTCTTCGCTAAATTCTCGTCAATATATGTCTTGAGTTCAGCCAACTCATCTTGCGATAAACTGTAAATTGGTCCAAATGGTGGCTGAGTTCTTTCCTTGAGGTCGATTGAACAATCATATGGACGATGCTCAGGAAGAATATCTGCATTTTTTTTCTCAAAAACGTCTTGATACTCTTGATATTGAATTGGAATGCCACTTGAAGTCTTTACGTTTTCAGAAATAGGTGCAGCATAAATAGCAAAAGTTTACCTTCTTTTGCTGCGTGTATAAATGCTTTTGCACCTATCAGTACGGGTTTTACTATACTAGACTTATAATTTTTTACTTGGTTGATAGAACTATTAATAATGCTCTAGGAAAAGTCAAGTTTATGCGAATTCCAATCTATTCAAGGGTTATATTTTTCTAGCCAGGATAAACCTAAAATAACTGGATTGGACGGGGATTTAATTATGTTAAAAACTATGTAGCTATCATGACCGTCTATTGTTACTTTTATAGGATGAGTTTCATAAGTGACATCTCCAGAAGACAAGAAACGACCATCTATGACTTCTACATGTACTGGTTTAGGTTTCTGTATAAAAGGTATTATACGACTTTTAACAAATTGTTCATCTAAAAAACATGCTGAGGCTCCCGAATCTAATAAAGCAGAGGCTTTGTAATTCTTAGGTCCTAAATATAAGTCTATTATAAAACAAGGAGAGGGTTCTGAGGAGAGGATAGGACCTTCATTAGGAATTGTATAAGGTTCCAGCTGCATGGTCCCTATTGTAGCTGGACAAATCCGTTTCTCGACATGTTGTCTTCTTTGACCGTCGTACCCCTCATTTTATAGTTGCGTCGTTTTTTTGGACAATGTTGACCAGTGTGCTTAGGTTCTCCACAATATAAACATAATCCTTCTTGACGATGACGAATCTTTTCTTGCTCAGTTAGGGGTTTAAAACATATCGCGTCAATTTGCATGTCTTCTACTTTCGAATGTACGTTTGGCAAAGATGTTGATATTGCCATTGAGTAATATCGTTGAGGTTCTCATGAATGATTCTGGAATCAAAATTCAAAAAGTCGATTATCACATTTTACCGCAAAATCGATTGCTTGACTCAAAGTTTGAGGATCAGGTAAGTTGAGCCTCAATTTCTTTACTTCGCATTGCAATCCATAAATAAATTGACTGATAAGTGCAGCATCATCTCACTTGATGTCAATTGCAAGTTGTCGAAATTGTGAAGCATACACTGTTACTGAGCGATTTTCTTGTCGCAGAATTCGGATCTTATTTGTTGCAACACGAGTTGCATCGTGTTCACCATACATAGATCGAAACTGTGCCAAAAAAGCTTCCAAATTGTACAATATTGGATTTCGTTGTTCAAGAAAAGATGAAAACCACAATAATGCAGAACCAGAAAGTAGAGTGCCAATAAACCTGACTTGTGATCGTGGAGTTGGATAGCTTTGCGGTTGAAGTTCAATTGCCAATTGTACTTGATTGATGAACCCTCGAAACTTTGATCTCGTACCATCAAATTTCTCGGGTAAGGCAATTCTTGGTTCTCTAGTGCTTATAGGGTGTTGTACAATTGGAGAAGGAACGTGATTTGTTGTAGATGTTGAAGCAGCTCCGATCATCTCTATATCCCCACTTTCTGCTATTCTTGTTCTTTCCTGTGTTGGTGAATTGAGTTGATGCATCGCAAGCATTAACTCCCTCATTTGCTCTTGCATTTGTGCCATTGCACTCTTCATTTCAACAAGCTCTGCCATAATGACACTAAGAAGAAAAATTTGTTTGATACTGCTCAAGACAAAAGAAAAGAAAGACTTGATAACAAAGAAGATACTAAGAACAATATCAGTTTAGAAGTGGATAATCCGCAAACTTCTAATACGCTTATGCCTTGTCAAGAGAAAGGGGTAATCGACTCTTACTCAAGAAAAAATAAAGCTCTGATATTGTAAGTACACTCTTGTCAATCTGTCAAGGACAAAAATTTGATGAGGAAAAATATACACAAAAAGGCTATCTCGATATAATAAGTCAAAATATAAACAAGTATGTATATTAAAAGGAAACTGGAATGGCTATTGCCACAAGACAAGAAACTAAAGACTCTTGAACCTGGACTAGGAGCAAGAAAGGAGTTGACAAGAGTGAAGAAGCCTTCACTCTTGTCTCTATATATACTATCTAACTAGAGGCTACGTGGCGATGTTCTATAGGACCTCCAATATGTGTTGACTTTGTAGAATACATGCCTTGACTTACAAGGCAAGTTTTTCTATGTGTGGGCCACATAGTTAGCTTGATCTTCAAGCTAACAACATGTGTGGCACATGGCCAACTTGTTGACCACGTTTCTAATCCAAAAAGTCAATTAAAGACACCTATGAAGTCAAAGCAGCATCTAGGAAGTTTTTAGGAAGCTTCTATATTAAATATTATAGAATTAACTTATTTTTATCTACTTTTACTTACTTCTACCTATTTCCATATGTAATTATTAGCTTACATGATTATGGCCATGACAGATACACATTAGCTCAATCTGATGTACCTTTATATCAAATTTATTATTTCTCCAATCCAACTTAATGTAATTAAATAACAAACAAATCTTCCTAGACAATGCATATTTACTTTCTTTGATTGTAACTAGAAGTATGAATGCCAAAAAATCAATAGATTTAGTACAACTTGAAGAAGATGAGGTATCTATAGATACTTTAGAAGAATCACCTAAATTTGTAGAATTGTCAAAAAATACTCAAGAAATAGCCAAAAAATTAGTAGATAAATAACCTTCTTTTGTAGTTGAATTTCATAACAAAGAATACCAATTTATAGGCAAAGAAAGACCTTAGATTTCTAGCACTTTTTTGAAATAACCAACAATCAATAAAACCTTCAATCCTACAAAATCTTATGATGTATGGCAAGATCTTTGTAGAGCTAGAGCCAACATTTCTTTTAGATAATTGATCCAAATAATACCAAGTATCAAAAAAGACCTCAAAGAAGGATTTAACTTGTAAAGAAAATGAAAGAAAATGAAAGAAATAGATAGAATTGAAATTTATGATTTGGAAGGGAATATTATCTTTGAAGAAAAAAAAAGACATTAGAGAATATAGACTTGTTGAAATAGATGTGGGATTAGTGGATAAAATAATTCCTATGATCATAGTAGATGATGGAAGTAGTATCAATATTATGCCTAAATCAACCATAAATAAATTAGATTTGAAAATCACTCTCAAAACAGTTGTGAAAGTGTCTTTTTTGTTCCTAGCTTAATATCTTAGTAATTTTTTAAAAAAATTCTACCATAACTATTAGATTATAGTATCTATTTTATAAATATTCTATATGGCATCTTTAAGTGGCTTTCTAATCTTTTTAAGTGAAATAAGAATGTATTGAGTTTTCTTGCTTTGAAGTTCATGTCTTTAATAAAATCCTCAACAATCCTAAATTTTAAATATCTAAGATCTTAATCTAATAAAATTCTTGTATTCTTTACTCTTATCATTTAATTGACTTAAATTTATAAATTATAATTAAAATAAGGATAATAAGAAATTCAAAATAATACACTCAAAATTTTTTTATAAAATCCACAAATTATTTAAATATGTAAACGTCTTTTATTTTTCAAAATATAAAACCTCTATACACATCTTTCATTTTGAAAAGCTTTTGAAAACTTAATATGCATTCAAATCACTTGAAAACAATGCTAGAGCAACCTTCTTGAATTTTTTTCCGAAATTCCCACTTTTAAATCTACCAAAGAACTTTAGTTGCCATTGATATGTGATTTTGTATCTTTGGATTTAATTTCAACTCTAGTTCACAACTAGTCTTCTTTAGGTATGAATTTTTAGTTTTATAAGATATGTTTTGCTACAAATTTTCGTCTAAAGATGCCTATATTATTTAATTTATGAATGTATTTTTTTTTCTTAATTATGGTTGTACAAAATTAATAGAAGTCTTTTTTACAAAATGCACCATTAATACTTGAAGCTTTTACTACCTGTTTATCTTTTACTCAAATTTTGCTACTACATTTTTCAACTAGGTTCTTCTATATTAAAACCCATATTTGTATCTTTAACCAAATATTCATGTTACAACACGAAACCACCTTGTAATGTCTCACATGCTTCCATGCCTACATTGCCACATTCTCTCTTGCTTTCCTCTCCTCCTCCTCCCTCCACTGCTCTTCTAATTTCTCTATGTTTCCAATGATTTTTGTAATGGCTAGGATTAAATCTTGAGATTTGATGGATGAGATGTCTCAAGCTACTCAAGTGAGTTGACAGATTTAAAAGACATATAGTGATGAAGCTATACATCTTGCACCCTATCCATTTTAAACAAAAATCTGTCAAAAAAAACATATAAAATGTATTTAAGACTGTTTAAAATATAAACATTTGAAACAAATAGATCCCTAGTAAGATTGTGAACTTAATCATTTTATATCTTACTATGTTCTAATGTAAGATTATAAAGTAAACATTGGATAAAGATGGATGACATAGTGCATTGTAGAACATTTCCAAACCACATGCTCACACCTTCGTCAGACTTTCCGACAACTGACGTTCTCAAGGACTCCCCACTTGGAACTCATTTATTATACAAAAATTGAAGGCCTTGGCTCACAGCGAGACAACAACGCAAGTATCATCTAACATATTCATTCATCTTTCCTCTTCTAGTTGACATGAAACGGACCACACTCGCGCAGCTGCGAGGTTTACTTTGTCCGCGTCTGTGAAATTGGAGCTGCACTGACTGACGAAATCGTTTGTGGGTGCCTCCGATTACACCCGTCCTGATGTTTTAGTGTGCATTAGAGGGAATCAAAAACCTAAATTCGAAACAAATTTGAGATGAAAATGGTTTTCAATGAGCTGCAAGGCTGTAGTCAATGCGAGTTTTGAAACACTCTAGCGTTTTGTCTGTGGACTTGACGGTGCAGAGGATTTTGTTGTGTAGCACGCCCTCCGAGTCGCAGGAGCGGTGATGCTTGATGTTTTGACCTGGTAAAGGTGTTTACTGTCGCAGTGTTTTTTTCCTGCTGTGAAGGACGGGCGGGGAACTTGTGTAAGCGGAGAGTAATCGACAATGGCGACATCTGTGGTGGCTGGGAGGTTCATTTTTTTGGTTCTGGGATTCGCAACGGCTTGCACGGTGCTCTACACCTGCGTCACAGACGGCTCTCCGTTTCGAATGGAGCTGCTAACCCCGTATTTTACTCTCCTTCTCCTCATCGTATTCTTCATCCTGCTATGTGGACGGAGTTGTGTCATAATTGCTTTGGTTCTGGACTTTGGTTGGGGACGTTCTTGGTGTCGTCGAATTCAGATTCGATGGGTAGTTTGAATTGCGATGTACAATTCGTGGTTACTGAAATTGGAGACTTAGTCGGGGTAAGGTCTTTCTGTTCAAATAGTACATAGAAATGGATAATGGTTATCAATGGCAAACTTGTATTTGGGTATGAAAATCTGGTTGACCGGCTACAACCTTCTGGATTGCAATCTTTTGGAGTTTTCCGCTGAAATCACAACGGACTTGACAGATGGATGAGCGCCACATTAATCGATTTTTATGTCAACGTTATCCCCATCGCGGTGAGCTTGCAGCATGAGCTTGATTGATTCCCACTTAAGCATACATGTTGGGAGGAAGCTCTGCTAAGCCTTTTGTAAAATGCTTGTTAAGGGCTTCCTGAACTTGTTTTTTTAAATATATATGCCAAATATCGCATCATGTCATCTGAGTGCTGTTATTTGTAAAATGACTGGATTTTCTTATGACATAGTTTTCATCGTTAGAACGTTTGGCGTCAGGCTTCTCTTCTCACTGACGTACTGTCTCAACGTGATGCAGGCGTGGGTCTGGTACAAAGAATCGAACTTAGGAAGCCGGGTAACGTGGACTGTTCTCCTTATTTGCTTTGGCAGGTAAGTTTGCGTCTTTGAATGTGGAGCTGTTGAACACACATCCATCTAACTCATGAACCTTCATTTTATTGTGAAATTAATGGATAACTTAAGACGAAACGAAAACTTTCAAATTGCACATGAGTCTTCTGGCACCATCAGCGACGTAATGTGCAGTATTAGGGTTGCAATGACACAATCTGAAAGGCTCCATTCTATGCTTTGTGTACAGCATAACAACTTGCTGGTACATTGCTATTGAGTTCTTCAAGATGTCTCCAGACGACCCTGCTTATTATGTGTTGCTGAAAGATCGCACCATCAGGCAAGGCTCATTCCATCGTTCATGAATCTTGCGTGTTCCTGCTCACCAATTGCTTAGAAACTGGAATGTCAACGGTAATAAAACAAAGTACTGAGATCTGATCTTGTGACAGAAAAGGTGGGAGGGTAGCTGCGAACTAGACGGTCACATGCCAAGCAATTATTGATCAATAGCTTGAGCACCAAGGTCAGCCATCAGAGAAGAGCTGATATCTGAAATGTATGTTTAGTGGGTTAATGGCTTCTACATCTTGCCTGAAGAATGGGCAGTCACTGAAGTTTTTTGAAGTGGGAAACAAGATTTAGATTGTGCTTGATAGCCTTGCAGGATCGATTGATCCGATTTCTGTTGGCTATGATTTTCTGAGAGCCAGAAGCTTGTAATGTTCCTCACTTGAAATCCAACATTATAAGTTTATCACATCTATAGTCTGTTACACGTGTTTTTGTTCACTGTTAACGTAGTTTGTATTGGATCTCTTGGGAGAAATATGCCACACATTTTGCACTGATTCAGGGGCATTAAAAAAAATCACAAAATCAAGGAATTTTACACCTTTGAAATTTTCATGTTGTATCCTTACAAAATGAAGGAGACTATCTGCTTGATTAATTTTACAAGCAAGGAGAGAAAGCAAAAGATGCCATCTTTGTAGCAAGTCATTGCTTGCATTTTATACAACTATTTCATTATAAGAAATACACTTCTAGTTGAGTTTGTCTAAAAAAAGGGTCAAAAAGTGGGCATTATACAAATATAACAATATTTATTATTGGATATGCTTCAATTTTAATACAAATATCCATCAATACAATTATATATAATAATTCAACTATCTTTTGTAGCAAAGACAAAAAATAATTATGGTACAAATTATTTTGTAATAATGCTAAAATATTTAGAGATTTAAATAATATAATTTTATAATTTTATATGACTTATAATAAGAATATATAATATTTTCAATAATTTCAACAAAATTGTAAAGATTCTTAAATGAAAAATTTTAGCTTATTCATTTTTTAGTTATAATAATAGAAAAAATCCTATATTACATATCTTAATATATGATATATAGATACATATAATTAATTCTATAACTACATATTATTTCAAAAAAGAGAAATTTTTATTTAAAAGAATTTATTTCAATATTATATTATAAATACTTCTACTACATATTTCATCACATATATTTGATAGTAGATTTAATAGAATTTCTAATGACAAGAATTATTCCAATTTATCCTTGCAATGCCTCTTTTGTCATATTTATTATTTTTGTTCAATTTCAACTACATGTTGCAAAGCTAGTTTTTGTATCTCCATAGTTTCATTATATTTTTTTTATACTTCAACTCTATAAGCATCTTATAGCAAGCATTGGCTCTATTTTTAACTTCTATTATTGTTTAGACAATCTTCTTGTAATTTTGTTTTATGTTAAGAAAACAAAAAAAATAGTAGCTTTATTAATGGCATTGATAAAGCTATGCCTTTTTCAATACTTCTATTAAATTTTAGTTTGTTTATATTAGATGTCTGAAATTATAATTTTAAATTAAATTTTTAAATTAAATTCAAATCATTATCATAATATATTGAAAATTTATTCTTAAAGAATTTCAAAAAAATACCAAGAAATATTATGCATATTACAATCTAAATTTTATATGTCTATAATATTGGCATTATTCATCCAACATTCATCAATCTAAGGTTAGGATTTGTTGACGGTATTGTCATCCATCTATTAATTAGGATTTTATCTAGTTGTTAGGATTTCATTATTTTTGAATAGATAAACATATCTATTTTCTATATCATCTAGTTTACACCTATTTTAGATGAATGAATCCTTTATTTTACATTAATAAAATATATACAATACTTGAGAGTGTACAGATTGAATATTAATATGGTATTAGAGCTAGACTTTTGAAGAAATATTATAAAATTGTTTATTTTTTGAATAGGTAGAGTTGTTCAAATAGAGAAAGTTTGTTCTCTCTAGTATTGTCCTTGTGCACACTATGTATAATATAGAATTATAGACACACTTGTGAGAGAAGTCAATGATTCTATGAAGTCCAAAAAAAAAAAAAAAAAAAAAAAAAAAAAAATCTAACTACATGCTATGGAGCTATAGAATTCAAATGCAAGAAACTTTGTGAAAATTGATTGAAATATCTCCATCTATTCATATCAATAGTGAAGAATCCACAAGTCCATGTGCTAACAAGGTTGCACATCCAAACTCCACTATAATAAGACAAGATCAGACCAACACAAACCCAATAGTCTCTATTATTCAAGATCATATTAGAGATTGTTGTATCATTACCTCTACAATACAAGAAGCCATTATTTCATATGATATTGGTATTTTTAAACTTCAAGTTATTTAAAAATATTTCCAAATGTTGTATGATGTACAAAACACAAACACATAGCTTGCTTTGACAAAAAAGTTGTATACACTTTGTTTCCTAAAAAAAAAAAAAAAAAAAAAAAAAAAATTACAAGAAATTCATTTGTTACTTATCTAGTTAGCTAAGATAAGTGTTGCCATATGTAATAAAGATATTATTGCTTTAATTCTAAACAATCTACCAAAAAGTTAGTCTATCTTCAAGCAAAGTCAAAAAGAAAGATTTAAATCACCTACTTTTTTCAAATTAGAAGGATTATTATTAATAGAAGTTTTTTATCAACTTTAAATTACTAAAGATAATGAAGAGGAGGTATTATACAAAAAAACATAAATTTTTATAACTTTGGACCTAAAAAACAAATCCATTATTAACATTTTAGAAGACACTCTTTTGAACATCATCAAAAAAGAAGATACAATCATCAACTATCTATAATAAACAACAATGCAATTAAATTAAAACAGGGATTAAAATAATACATCACTTTCTACAAATATAGCAAACTAGTTTATTTTTCCCGAGAATGGGATGTCAAGAACTTAAAAAATCAAATTAAACAACTACAATTACAACTATCAAGAATGAAAGAAAGAAAAAAAAAAAAAAAAAAAAAAAAAAAACAACCATACCGACGTAGTAAAAGATAATGATGAAGTAGACTATTTAATGGATCTTTCAATTGAAGCTACAATAAATGTATATTTTAATGCATTTGATTCTGAAAACAGATGGTTCTTAGACTCTAGAACAAGTTCATACGTAACTAGAAATGAAAAGTTGCTATTATAAATAGAAGAATTAAATATTTTTAATATTAAAATTTGTAGAAGAACAAACCTTCTTGTACTTGAATATAGAAATATATCTCTTGAAAATTTATCTAGAAATATAAATATAAAAATTTTCTTTATATTCTTAGTGTTAAAACAAATTTATTATGAGTTGGAAATTTTACAAATTTAGGACTCATTATTTTATTCAATTCCACATCTTGTTATATATTTGATAAAAAAAATCCAAAGATTATATAAATATAAGTTATTTGAGAAAAAAATAAACTTTACTATATCAAAAAAAAACAAAACAAAACAAAACAAAACAAAACACAAAACACAAAACACAAAACAAAACAAAACAAAAAACAAAAATCTTATTTTTGGCTACTTCATTGCCAAAAGAAGATAATATTCCAAGCATCAACAAAACAACAAATAAGATACATGGACCAAAAATACTTTATGTTGCTAAAAATATTATTTGACTTTGAGATAAGAGGTTTGGTTATTTTAAATTTATGAAATTCTATTACATATTTAACAAAGGACTAATTGGTAGGATATCACAACCATTCTTATGGAAAGAAGTTTTTGAAAGTTATATATATATATATATATATATATGGAAAATTATATAGGAAATATATTCCTAAGAAAAGAAGTCTGTTTATAATAAGATAGTTGGAAATAGTTCATTTTGATTTATATAGTTCTTTATTGATTTTGTCAAGAATAACAACAAATTTATCTTAACATTCATTGATGATTACAAATAAAGGACTTGGTAATATTTTTTATAAGATAAGTAAAGAAATATTTGACAAGTTCAAAAAAAATTAAATTTAGTAAAAAACTGAATGTTTAAGAATAGATTGTGGAGGTAAATATCTATCCAAATTTTAAAGTTATTGCAAATAAGAAAGGATTAAAAAAGAACTTACTTCAACATACTGTCCTCAACAAAATAGCCTAATAGGATAAACAATAAGTCTAAATTAGAAGAAATAAGAAGTGTTATTATAAAAAAAAAAGCACCTAAATATCTACAGGAAGAATCTGCAAAAACTGTGAATTATATACACAATAGATTCTTAGCAAAAGCTTTAAGATGTTTAATTCTAGATAAAGCATTTATTTGACACAAATCTGACTTATTTTACTATCAAATTTTTAATTGTGTGGCACATTGTCATATATTCTTAATTTACAAAAAAATAAGTTAGATTCAAAAGATTTATTTACATTATTCATAGGCTATGACAAAAACATCCAAACATATTGCTACTATGACCCTTCAATTAAATGATAATTATTTCCAGATATGTTATCTTTAACAAAGAAAAATTCAATCCAAAACTTATTTTGTCCTTGAATCCATTATTAAAAAGAAGCTTTGATTTATTCATTAATCAAAACATAGTATCTAATAAAATAGTAAAAAAATCTAATCCGCCTTCTATTAAACAGATAACAACAACACCAACAAAAAATGTGTAAGGGAATGAATTTATGACAAGCATTTTCAACATCAAGAATAATAGATTAAAATTGTATTAATGAACATAGTCTTGATTCTTTTTTCAAAATTTTCCTTATTGTTTGTAAATCCATGAGAGCTAAAAAATAAATTATTAATTTAGAAAATTATTATATTTATGTCTTAATTAAAGATTATTACTTATATCAATTGAATTTGAAAAGTCTCAATGCTTATTCTACAAAAAATGAAGAAGTTAATTGATAAGGTGAAAACATTGACTTTATACAAACTTATAATTATCTAAGTTAGAAAAAATTAATAGAAGAGTGTATATATTCTATTTTAAGTAATAATACTTGGATATTAGAAGAATTATCTGAAAAAAAGCGTTCCATAGTATCAAAGTAGATATTCAAATTAAAACCTAGAATCAACAAACAACCAAACAGGAAGAAGGCAAGATTAATTACAAGAGGATTCAAACAAAGAAGAGGCATAGACTTTATTGAGACTTTTTTTCTCATTATTGGATGGTCTATAATTAAAAATAATTTGGATCTTATGTAGTATCTATGGTCTATGACAATGCTACTTATTATTTGTATGAATTAGTTCGAACCACTATTAAGATCCAATAGCAAGAAAGAGATTAAAGGTTTTAAACAAAGAAATGTAAGATTCAACAAAGAAGATTTTATTGGCTCTTTATAACATCAGGAAGAAGAATAAAGAAATGAAGAATTTAAAAAATAATCTTTAATAAAATTTAAATAAAAAATATTAATGGTACATACCAAAAAATATGCAAGATTAGAAGTAGTGAGTGTTATACCAAAATTTCATATAATATTTAAAAATTAACTAAAGACTATAAATACATTGGTTTCTTGGTTTATATTTTATTTATTAAATGAAGTGCTTAAGAGAGAATTTGGTTTTAAAAGTAGCTAACTAATTAAAAAATAGATTAGAATAAAGATTAATGATAGTATATTTAGTAAATATATAAATAGATATATAAATTCTATTAGAACAAAATATCATAGTTTTTATTAAAAAATAAGATTTATAGAAGGAAATTAGGATTTAAGATAACTAATTATTAGAGTATTTACTTAAAATAAAACTTTGTAGATAATTTTTTAATAATCTTATAAATATGTGTAAAAAATTTGGTAGAAAAATAAATTATAATTTGTGAAAAATAGAGATTTAAAAAATATGAAGAAGTTAAGAATGAAGCTTATAGAAAGAAGATTTGAGGGTTTTGACATCAAATGGTGACTTGGAGCTTGTAGTGATGAATGGATGATAATGTGCTTGGATAGTACCTAAGGGATCTTAGATTTGAACCTCCATATTGGTACATAAAATGTATATATATATATATATATATATTCTTTGAAATCTTTAATTAATTTATTTAGCATATTTAGAGAATTGGCTTCAAAAGACTTGCATAAAGAGATTATGTTAGATAATAAAGGCACTTGTTGTACTTGTTGCATGGATGGAAGCAAAAAATCTCTTTTAATAGTAGCATGATGTGTGACATCCATATCTTTTATATATTTGTCTTCCTAATAAATTGGTATATACCCTCCTTAAAAAAAGCTACAAGTTGATAGTCGCTTAAGTGTGATCACATCAATCCTTTAGAATCCTTAAACTTACATTTTTTTTTAATAAATAAAATCTTGAATAAATTAAAATTTAAGATTTAAGATTTAGAAATAAGATTTAGAATTTAGGATTAATGATTTGAAATAAGTGTAAGTTTTAGGGTATTAAAAAAGTAGCAACTTTCTTTAGAGATGGATATAAAGGCTCTCAAAAAAGGTTTTATTTTCTCATTGTGAGCTTCAAGTGATAGTTTTTTAATCAATTCAAACATTTGTCATAAGCAATCTCATTTTTAAATACAGTGCATTAAGTCTTAATTATTTTAAAACCCTTCATTTTCAAAACTATAGGCATCAAATCTAGACTCTTATCATACATGGAAAAAATACATTTTATAAGCTTACTTTCTTTCCCTATAGTTAGCATTTTTGAATGATTGCATTCTATAATACTACTCTTTAAAAGTTGTTTATAGAATATCATATATATATATATATATATATATATATATTTTAATGCTTCTACACTCTTCATACTTTATTAATGCTAATCTTATTTGTTCATTATCCATGAATAATTTCTTCTTACATTGACAATGTTGCTCAAGAATTGCCTTGATGGTAGTAGTTGCAAATATTGATGGCTAATATATTCTAATGTAAATTAAATGCTTGGGATGTATTCCATATCATGGTTATTTAAGAGATACATCTTGTTCTCCATATTCATCTTTATCATGTCAACAATTCTATCTAAGTTGCCCCTCTCTACCTCAATGGTCTTTTCTTCATCCTACCTTAACCATAGTACCTTGGCCTCTTTAACCAACCCTGCCACCCCTAAAAATTCTCTATGTCTACAAATATAAAATTTCAAATATTTAATAATTATCAACTTGAGTCCTAATAAGAGAGTTTGCATTATTTATACTACTATATTGATTATGTTCACTAGTATCAAAATTAATTTGTAGTAGTTCACTCTAACTTAACAATTCCTTATTTACTTCTACCATACTGTTGATTTCAACTTGTATACACTATAAACTCTAAATTATGATTATCAATATATTGCTTAAGATTTTAAATATATATTTAAAAAATCATTCATTAGTTAAGTAAAATAATAATAAAAAATAATAAGTTAATATTTTATTTTAAATTTTAATAATTAAATTAAAATTAACAACAAAATTAATAAAAAAATTGAAATAATTTTCTTAAAAATATTCAACCATGTTAAAATTAACAAATGTAGAGAAGCACCTCTGCAACCTTGATTTTATATACAACTAGAGCTTTTAACATTTTTATCATGTCGCCTATGAAATTCCAAAGTTTAGAAGAACAAGGTTTTACATAGAAACTTCTTGTCTATGAGAGTGTTGTCAAGTGGGAACCTGCATGGAAGCAAAGTGATGGTTAACTGTGTTGTTGCTCAACTTGTGGGGAATTTGAACACGTGAGAGTATGCATCAGGGATGTGTGCATATTGAATTGGTTTTTGCTTACTTAGGTCAGCAAGATTCCCTATCTAACTCCTGGAACTCTCACTCGTCGCATTTCTTCAAGTGTTAATAAATGTTTCATATTGCATTGGTCAGAGCTGGATGAATATTGAAGCAGAAAAGCTCAGTGCAGAGGTATCAGGTAAGATATCGTTGCAAGATCAACTGAACAAAAAAAATCCTTGAAATTAGTTTAAGCACAGTGGTAGGAGTGGATATCACTTGGATTTAGTTTCGTACCGTGCTGGTAAACTCCGACACAGTTGCAGGTCAAAGAAGAGTAGCACAATGTAAGAGAGCAGTATGTGGAAGTACTGCTCTCTTGCACAACGACATGTTATCTCTGATGCACTATGAAAGTGGAAGGAACGCGTGGGTTTAGGGGGTTGTCATGGATTCCTCCCAGTCAGTTCTAATCCTCAAGATTCCAAAGCCACCAGTCATGTACAGATTTCTCATTGCAACTTTCGTTTACCAATCACAAGTTCCTAGTTACTGTGCCATTGTCTACTGCTTGCAAGAGCAGACGAACCTTGTTTCCCTGTAGTCGACCAGCGACCGTTAGGGTGGAATGTTGAAGAGGGTTATGTTCAGCAAATAATTTCAACCGCTACAAGTCAAACAAGCATGTTCGAACTTATCCGCTCGGATATTAGATGCAAGCTTCAATTGTGCATTGCGTCAATTCATAATAGGAAAATAAGGTCATTCCAAACTGTACTACAATATTTCATTTTTAATCCCCCAGGGCAACATATGTAACTAATGAATACAGCAATATCAATTAGAGGAATGTGCAAAAGAGGACTGAATTTCTTTCATTTGAAAATTTTCCTACCTCAACATCAACTTCCTTCATCGAAAAGATGAAAAGAGGAAGCTGGTGGAAATCTCAGCTAAACATTGCTGGACTAATCTTTGCTACCAAAACCAAATAGATACCACTACCTACATTACAATCGGAAACAGGCAAAATTTATCATCAGTGCACTTCTGAGGATCAGCCACAAAAGGTATGTAGTGTCTACTCCACTGCAGAAAAAGCCATGGCTACTCCAAGAACAAACTACGAGTATAGCTAAGTGGCTGCCAAGCATTTAAGAGAGTCGCCGATTTCTTCAACTAAACTCGATCAACTATGGAAATAAGTTCTCTTGAATGTATTTACAAAGCCTTATGCGACCAAATTTGGTGCATTTCAAACATGACCCAGAATAGTACGACCTAACAAGGTCAGGCGTTCACCATGCCGCATGAGAGTGCCATCAACAGCACAGCTCCTTCTTCTTCGTCTGAAGAGAATGAACCCACATGCATATTCAACTCCTTATCTTGGATGCGGACGACTGGTGAGGCTCGGAAATCTCGGTGCAATGTACTCTTGGGCGAGGATGCAAACAAGGGAGATTGCCATGTCATACAACTTTCGGATAAAAGACTCTCTGACGTCCGAAGTAGAGAACCCCTGCTTCTCTTCCTTGATTTTGCTTCAGGAGGAAACACCCAGTAATGCTGATCATCGTTCGCAGATTTCCGCTTCGCAACCTTAGTAACGCCAGGGTGAGGAGTCTGCGATTCGGATGAACCATTGGCAGCTGACCTTCGCCCAGCTTTCTTGAAGCGAATCCCGCAGGCATTACAAAGAGACTGCGGGGAAACAAACAAAAACAAAGGATCGTTAGAATTCGCTTTCAACACCCGTCATAGGTACACATTACACATTATTTCAGATAAATTTTCGAGAAGATAAAGAGAATAAGCTGCAATAAATACCTTTGGTCCACCAGGTCCATTCCTCCAGAGAGGCGTCTTCGACGTACCACAATGGGCACACACACGTGCACAGCCATCGCCATCTTGCTCGAGTCTGGAAGCAGGTTTAGCCTCCACCGCGGCACTCGAAGCTAAATAGTCGGGCAGCCATGGTTGTCGTATGGAACGATTACCACACGTCTGATCCTCTACCATGCTATACAATGCTTTAGAGGTATTAACGTCATTCTTGTATGATATCGCAGACGACCGTGGCCATGCCTTAAAACTCTTTCTACCTCCACTAGTAAGGCGCCCTCCCCTTTCAGAAACCTGCAGGTAATCGAGAAACGATCAGATGAAAAGAGGATAGGGTAACCCAAATATTTGGTACAAGTGCGAACTCCAAGTCAAACCGGTAAACCAAAGCCATGAGATCCAGTCAGTAACAACACGCACATTGCACCACTCGCCATTGATTGCGAGCACAGAGACCTCAATAAACAATTCAATCGTCTTGAGAATATCCGATCATCCTAAAGAAATTGGAAACCTTATCCCAAAATTCTAAACCACTACCTACCTGAGGATAGTACTCGGGGGAGACATCATGATCACTGTGATTACTACTACCACCCCACGACATGTCCTGATCACTTCGGTCGCGTTCCACCACCTCCGATCGCACTGACAGCGACCAAGCGAGGTCCTGTTCAGGCGATCCGGCGCGCGAGAGCAGGGAAGGGATGTCTGTCCGCGATGCGATCGACCCTAGCGAAAGGGTGCAGTCCACAGCAAGTGAAAGATTACAGTAGCTGGGATCCTCCGTTTCAGCAGGTGAGTCTGAACCGCAAGGCCCTCTAGCTCTTGGGCTCCCAGCACCTTGTACGCCCACCATTCTCGATGTAAAACGATTTCTTCACTCAGTTCACGTTGATCTCACAATCTATCTTGGTTCTACCGATGTAGCCTCGTAATCAACGCAGATTTCCTAAAGCCCTCGCCAGTATGCTGTAACAAAATCGTTGCGAACCTCGTGTCGCCCACTGCTTCACTCAATAGCTACTCGATCACTCAAAACCCGTGGGCCCAACAATCTTCCACTCCCATCCATTCACGATACTCCCGCTCTAAGAGCTCCTCTCATACCTTCATTCGCCGCCTCATGGTAAGTGACCCCACACTTCCAACCTGAGAATCTGTCACCAACCCAGACTGGCCCCCTCCGTTCCCACGCAGGCAGTCACTATCCATGGAATCACAAGCCCCACTCGGTCACAATTCCTCTTACAATCTTTACGACTGCAGCTACTGTGATATCCAGACCCTATCCGATCAGCCAACACCGATTGATCGACTACCTCACCTCAGCAGGAAGGAATCTACCGCCAACAAACAGTCTGAGACGAAAATGATTGCACACCCGAAACAAAGGATCACAGCAGTATCTATACTTGCAGCGACGGGCAGATCGAAAAAGCAGGCGATTCTAAGTTAAGAACGACCGGAGCGAAAGCAAAGAATAGCGGCGCAAAGGGGGCCGTCCAATCGTCCCGCACTGTACGTTATCTAATAGTCTGTGGACATGGATCCATACATTCTCCATCGGGCACAACCCTCGCGCGATTCGACCTCAGACTGCTGTGCCTCCTCCGACCCAGCGATCACCCTCACCGCCCCAGCTCCCACATTCATCTGGCCATCGCGCCATCCGCTCCCTTCATCCGTTCCGTGGCCTTATCTCTTCGTCGCCGTTGCCCTACCATCCATTTTCTGCAGGCCCGTCATTATGAAGACCTAATCCCACCTCTTCACGCCTTGCTAGCGGTGATCTCTCCCGACCCCAACCCCAGCCCTTTTCGTTTTCTTTCCATTCTTGGCCCCGAATGCTCGCGCACCCGATCGCTGAGTATCCGAGTCATTCGAGCTTAACAACAACTAGGTAGAATCCTATTCGACCCCCCGCGAGTAACTGCAGTTGCTCCTGCTTCTACTTCACCTTTTCTAGTCTTCGCCCGATCCCTTCGATCGTCGCTTCTTAAAAAGGCTCCGATCGCAAGAAGCGTCGCGAGCTTTGTTTCGAGGTTGTGTCTAATCAACTTGAGGAAGAGACTCTTCTGCTGTGGGTGGTGCTCTTGTGGTTCTACGCGGTAGTGTGAATGGGACCCGAGCTTGGAGGATAATATGAGACCACCAGATGCCAAGCCTGTTCCTGTCTGGGCAGCATCCCAAATGCATGGTTGCCCCCTTTAGTGTGCAATCTCACTCCCTTGAGGAACTTGAAATTGGATGGAATATGATTAAGACTGTGCCTATCGGTGACTGTAGTTTCTATTGTCCTCTCCATCAATGGAGGGACATGTAGGTGTGTGTATGTACTTTGGCATAAAAGTTGAAACTTGTTTTTAACATTTTTAGAGAATTGTAAACACTGTATCCATAATTGATAGTGTTGCACCTCATGTGATTTCCACACAACTTAAATTGACTACATAGTGTGTTTCTATGTTTAGGGCATGTTTGGCAGCCCAATATTGACTCATAGATAGAATAACACTTTCTCAAAAAGTTTTTTGCATTTTTGGCATCCAAAAAAAAGGCTTTCAAATTAAACAGTTTGTTAGGCAAATATATATATATATCACAATTTTTTTTTTCAAAAAATATACATTGGTTCCCTATTGACCACCACCCTTTCTAAATATATATTTATAATTGTTTACGTGGAGTTTACTTAGGATGTAGCAATATCAATTGGGGATGTAGCATTAACTATTCTCTATTTTTATTTTGAAAATCAAACACTTATTTGTTGAAACATCACAGTTTTTTCACTAACTTGACAACAAGCAAGACACCATTTTCTAATTTATTTTATCGAAATCATCATCATCATTATTATTATTTCTTTCTGTGTTTGGGTGTGATAGTGAGCACGTACAGAAAATAATGGTGTTGAACTATCCACTTCAATTGAGTTGACTCCAACTTTTCTCACTCTTTTAAAAGGTGATACTTCCACTACATCTTCCAAATGGTTGACTGATGCCTTCTGAAACTGTATTAATTTAGTTGTGAGCTTTTGAAATAGATTGAAGATGTGTGGGAAAACATATTGAAAGGGGACCATATTTGACCAACATAGAATTGGGGTATGTTTGTGATAGCGGGCTGATGGATGGAAGGTATTTTTTTTTTGGGTAAAATGAGTTTTCGCCAATTCATTGTTTTCATCCACTAGTGAAGGTTTCCTTTGGACGTGTCTAGACTGACATAGCAGTGGTGACGTGGCTTTCTGCCTCCAGCATCTGCAAGTAAACTTTCTACACAAAAGCTCAGATTCTCATTCTAATGAATGATCTTCATTCATCCACTCAAAGAACCCCTTGATGGGGGACCTGCATGTGTCACTTATTGCTGCCAGGTTAAAATTAACGGCACAGTATTTGCCACATAAGAATTCATGGACCAAGTATTTCAGCCTCACGTCCATACAAAGGGTGTATATATATATTTATATATATATATATACAAGTGTCAGTTTATTCTGCGCCAACAAACTACGCGATACATCTAATTGGTAATTTAAAGTAATAGCAGAGTCAGTTTTCTCATTACTTGATTTTCTTTCTATAGATTCAGCATTTGCATTCTAAAATTAAAACTTAAATAGGTATACTGATTAGTATCAAAAATATCATGTTGACATTTTCAACTTTATCATTAAGGATTTTCGAATAAAAACTTTAACTCATTATCCTCTCCATATAGTAAATACACTATTTTCTGCAACCATGCATGCATATCTACACATACAATTGTATAGGTGTTGTACCCAACACAACGAATCTTCATGTGCTATGATAATATGTGAGTTTAATCATGAAGCGCTTTTTAAAAAGAAAAAGAAAAAAGGAAAAGCAAACTGGTGCATTACTAAGTGTTGCATATGTATTAAACATGCTAAAATAAGACTAAAAATACAATATCTACTCTGAGGACATTAAATACTATTGTCAGAGTCTATTACTACTATAATTTTGGTAGTATCAATCATCACTTTTCGAAACTACTCCATCAAGAAATAAACATGCTCTTCATTCTGCAGTTATCTTTTTCTTTTGTTTTCTTTTTGGGTTTTAATTTTTCTGATTTCTTTTTTGTAAGATATAAAAAAATGGATAATTCAAAGCAGTATTTGTTATTAAAAAATGACTGTAATGAAGTATGTTTAAAAAGTGCTCTGGATTTTGAAAAATAAAGTCTAGTAGTACGCTGTAGAAGGGTATAAATTCTTCATTGTGAAACCAGAATATGACAACTCTGATTGAAACAAAACGACATAAGTATGTCATTTGATTACAACTTAAATACACTATTAAACAATATGTTTCAACAGAAAATAACTGGGTGGCTTTTGAAGGCACAGGTATTTTAATCACACAGTCTGAACCTGTGAAACTTCATTCCAAGCGCTACTGTTTCATCCCTCTCAGTCTTTATTGTTTTAGATACACACCACATATTTTCAAAATACGCAATCAATTGGAGAATGTTGGACATCGTCTTTGTTCATTAGTGCAAACCCACGCTAGTTCTGTAGCAAAGGCAATTAAGACTTCAAATTCCACATTCCCGGGTCCCCAACCAGGTGTGACAAACGCGATCTTTGAACAACCACACGCAGTAGATGGTGGCAACAAAACAGTGATCTACTTACAAATGACGACGACGACGACGACATCCTTTGTGTTCAAATCACATTCCCAGAGTTCGCTAAGAGAACGAGCGTCGGAGAATTGAGAATGAGCTGTTTTTCCAGAACGACACGGGAGAGAGACACCCCGTTAACAAGATGTGGCTGCAGTGGTGTGCTTCAGATGTCGATGCAGGAGGAATATCTTCCTGCCATGAGTTTCCAACGGACTAGTATAGCGCGAGCGCGCTGTGAATAGCCACAGCGAGTGGATGGATGCACGAAGCCCAGAAATCGCCATAATGGGGGGATCGAAGGGGGCACAACGAGCACCAAACCAACGAATGACGAAGCCCTTTGATCTGCGTCCTCGAGATCCTCGCACTGAAACCTTTTTGACTGACGCCGCATCCTCCCAAAATGGTGTTCATCAAGACACCCACCTTAAAAAAAGACGTTACTTTCCCGGAGCTTCCTGGTGCCAACAAGTTCGCTTATCACCTTTTAGGTCAGATCTACTTTTTCACAACTGGACGTGTTGCCATCCCCTAGTGTCGGAAGGTGCCTAAAAGGGAGCGTGACGTGGATGCCTGTCAGGCCAGCAGCCTTTCAAAGTGTGCGAGGTGCGTGGACCTCTGCGGGCAGGAAGTCTGTCCCTGGCTGAAAGTGCTTGAGCATGTTCGCTGTTGGACGAGGGCTCGAATATCGTCGGAGACTCCATTGGCCGCGCCTTCCCGGCCTCTTGGGGTTCACTCTTGATATCCGGAATTAGGTGTTGAATCAAGGACGTGGCTTGTGAGATTTCGCCTTCAGGTACATTCATCATAGGTACTGTCATGAACATTCATTCATCCCATGCATTTCCATCGACATTCTCCGTGCATCCTCTTCTAACACGGCGACCGACGGGCTTTGCCGTTACAGAAGCGAGCTCCCTGGTGCCCATGCCTGTGCAGTGCCATTACCGGAGGCTGCTGAGGTGACTTCATCATCTGCTTAGCTGGATGACCTTTTGCCACGTCGACGAGCCTCGAAATGGTTGTCGCGCATCGTAACTTGTGTGGGGACAAAGCACTTTAGTGGAGAATCCTATCAAACTGTCAACAGAGAAGTGCGAAAGCAAACAGCGAAAGGCCACTTTGAAACCAGAACAGAGGATATTGATAAGGCTACACTCATTGTTTATTTACATTATCCTGCGGTAACAGTGAATACAAATCTCAGCTGATAGATTGCGTCCTAATCATTAACTACAGTGTAAAGGAACGAAAAAAGCCCCTCGAAACTTGACACGGCCAAATGGGTTCAGTGTTCAAATAGCCGATAATGTGAGCTTGTCAGCATAGAGCGCAGCGCTCAGTTTGACTCCACCAATTTGGACTCCCAAAGGGAGCAGAGTTTCACTCCCGTGCCCTACCGTCTGGTGCAAAGAAGGCAAAATTCGGATCTATGGTTCGGTGACAGCCATCGCTGCATGTTGGGTTCAGTGCCGAAACTGGGTGATGCGACGAGTCTTCAATGAGAAACCTGATTGAGGCTCCCGGAACTCTCAATGGAAACATGCAGCGGAGATTAGAAAGGTTGAGGAATCTCGCCAGTGCGGGATAACAACGTATTTCTGAATGGACCCTCGACGATTATTCTTTCTACAACACTCCTGAATCTGCTTGATTCTATTGAGTTCAGTTCCAAAGAAGCTTCTATAGTGAGAACGAAGCCGCTTGAACGACCTTCGAGCCCAGGGTGCCGCCTGGAGGCTTAATCAAGAGGATGATTTTCTAATGATGAATTCTGAGGATGATCTCTTATACATTTGGAATAGCAATAGTGATCCATGTAAAATACTATGAAAGAGTCAAACTGAATTAAATTTGCACAAGGCACATAATGCTAATTTAAGTGCAATGAGGTCACACCCT